CAGCCTGGCCTGTGCGGTGGGGGGAGTCAGGCAGGGCCCTGAGGGACCAGGGGGTGGGCTTCCGAGCCAGACATCCCTGACTTTGAAGAAGGTCCCGGCCTTTGGCACGGAGCAGAACACAGCATCCCCGAGCCTGGCTTCGGGCGCCTGGATTACTCTGTCAACTCAATGCAAACAATCGGCCGAGAGACCGCTGGTATCTCAAAAAAACTCGTTAGTCGGGACACTCGTAAGTCAAGGCCCCACTGCACTCGCTTGTAAATGACTGACGGGTTTGTAATCGGCGTCTCAGTCTTGCTCCCGGGACGTTCAATTCCTATCCGTCTCAGACTCTCGCCTCTTACAAAGTTAACTTTCGCAGAAGGTGGGCTGCCTCCATCTGGGAGCCTGTGGGTTGTCTTTCCCGCGGGGAGCGGGTTTCTATGTGAAGAGGAGGGGTCTCCTAACCCCCATCTCTTAGTCGGGACCCTCGTAAGTCAAGGCCCCACTGCACTCACTTGTAAATAACTGATGGGTTTGTAATCGGCGTCTCAGTCTTGCTCCCAGGACGTTCAATTCCTATCCGTCTCAGGCTCTCGCCTCTTAAAAAAGTTAACTTTCGCAGGTGATGGGCTGCCTCGATCTGGGAGCCTGTGGGGTTGTCTTTCCCGCGGGGAGCGGGTTTCCGTGTGAAGAGGAGGGGTCCCCTAACCCCCATCTATCCGAGTGGAATAGCATCAGGGTCTGGGCACGTTGAGATCTTCAGGGAGATAGGTGGCGAAAGGCGGAATCTAGAACCAGCAAATTTCCAGGGAAGGAGGGGTCCCGCTGCCCACGGGTCTGCAGGTGGTACCCAGAGCAGCAGGGGGGGAACGGGGGACAGACTGACTCTGGGACCCCGGTTCCGAAGCCGCTGCCTGGCCTGTGCGTTGGGGGGAGTCAGGCAGGGCCCTGAGGGACCAGGGGGTGGGCTTCCGAGCAAGACATCCCTGACTTTGAAGAAGGTCCCGGCCTTTGGCACGGAGCAGAACACAGCATCCCCGAGCCTGGCTTCGGGCGCCTGGGAGAGGGGATGACAACCCCTGTCATTGCCCAGGGTGCCGCCGGCATTAGAGAGAGCGTGTGTGCAAGGGGGCGGCCACGGGCGCTCCCGACTCGGCAGCCGTCTGTGTACACAGACACGCGCGTCCTTAGCTTCTGGCCGCGCGTAGCCACGCACTGCTCCCTGTCTTCCCTCCCCGTAGCCACTTCCCGGGGTCACTAACATCACGGGGCCCTAACGTTGTCTGTTTCCACTTAAGTAGGAATGACTGGAAGAACCCAGGTTATGATTTGAAAAGACATACACGTGCCCGGCCAGCGTGGCTCCGTGGTTGAGCATCAGCCTATGAACCAGGAGGTCACGGTTCGATTCCCGGTCAGGGCACATGCCCGGGTTTGGGGCTCGATCCCCAGTGTGTCAGGTGTGTGTTATTTTTAATGAGTGAAATTTACATGCGCCATCTAATGAGCACACAGGCACGAGCTCAGGTTTTTCTGGGACAG